CTTTCACATCTCTCACACACTCACTCACACACTCACTTTCACATCTCTCACACACTCACTTTCACATCTCTCACACACTCTCACATCTCTCACACACTCTCACATCTCTCACACACTCACTTTCACATCTCTCACACACTCACTCACACACTCACTTTCACATCTCTCACACACTCACTCACACACTCACTTTCACATCTCACACACACTCACTCACACACTCACTTTCACATCTCTCACACACTCACTTTCACATCTCTCACACACTCTCACATCTCTCACACACTCTCACATCTCTCACACACTCACTTTCACATCTCTCACACACTCACTCACACACTCACTTTCACATCTCTCACACACTCACTTTCACATCTCACACACTCTCACTCACACACTCACTTTCACATCTCACACACACTCACTCACACACTCACTCTCACATCTCTCACACACTCACTTTCACATCTCTCACACACTCTCACATCTCTCACACACTCACTTTCACATCTCTCACACTCTCACTCACACACTCACTTTCACATCTCTCACACACTCACTTTCACATCTCACACACTCTCACTCACACACTCACTTTCACATCTCACACACACTCACTCACACACTCACTTTCACATCTCTCACACACTCACTTTCACATCTCTCACACACTCACTCACACACTCACTTTCACATCTCACAAACTCTCACTCACACACTCACTTTCACATCTCTCACACACTCACTCACACACTCACTTTCACATCTCACACACTCTCACTCACACACTCACTTTCACATCTCTCACACACTCTCACTCACACACTCACTTTCACATCTCACACACACTCTCACTCACACACTCACTTTCACATCTCTCACACACTCACTTTCACATCTCTCACACACTCACTTTCACATCTCTCACACACTCACTTTCACATCTCTCACACACTCACTTTCACATCTCTCACACACTCACTTTCACATCTCTCACACACTCACTTTCACATCTCTCACACACTCACTTTCACATCTCACACACTCTCACTCACACACTCACTTTCACATCTCACACACTCTCACTCACACACTCACTTTCACATCTCACACACACACACACACACACTCACTTTCACATCTCACACACTCTCACTCACACACTCACTTTCACATCTCACACACTCTCACTCACACACTCACTTTCACATCTCACACACACTCTCACTCACAGCGTTTCTTTTTGCAGAATTTAGGCTGTTATTTGTGTTTTTATTATTTTGTGTGAAATATGACCTTGTTATTCTTGTCTTGTATCATGTGATTCATAGAGGCATTTCTCTGATCTCTAAGTGTTTTGAATAAGACTTGAGCACACACTGCACTGCCTGTTATTATCGTAGTCCATCAGTTTTTAAAGCCTGTGTGTTGAATGTTCTGGACTGGCGTTGACTCAGATCCGTGATGTTCCTCTGTGCCGTTGCAGCCCGGCGCGAGTTTAGAGCAAACGCATATATTTGTTCTGGCTCATATCCTGCGGCGGCCCATCATCGTTTACGGAGTGAAGTATTACAAGAGTTTCCGTGGAGAAACTTTAGGATTCACTCGATTTCAAGGTGAGCCGTTCAGAAGAGTTCTGCAGTGTCATATGGAAACACACAGAAGAGTGACGTGTGTGTGTGTGTGTCCAGGTGTTTACCTGCCGTTGCTATGGGAACAGAGCTTCTGCTGGAAGAGTCCGATTGCTCTCGGTTACACGAGAGGTCACTTTTCTGCTCTGGTCGGCATGGAAACGGACGGTTGTGATAATCGTGGTGCAGGCGCCAATCTGAACACTGATGACGACGTGAGCGTGACCTTCCTGCCACTGGTGGACAGTGAGAGGAAACTACTACAGATACACTTCCTGTCAGCACAAGAGGTAAATACACACACTCTCACTATCACACTCTCACATACACAAATGCACACACACACACACACTCTCACTCAATCAGACACACACTCTCACCCACACACTCTCACATACTCTCACTCACACACTCACACACTCTCACCCACACACTCTCACATACTCTCACTCACACACTCTCACCCACACACTCTCACATACTCTCACTCACACACTCTCACACTCTAACTCACATACTCTCACTCACACACTCACCCACACACTCTCACATACTCTCACTCACACTCACTCACCCACACACTCTCACATTCTAACTCACATACTCTCACTCACACACTCTCACCCACACACACACACACACTCTCATCCTCACACTCTAACTCACACACTCACACACTCTCACTCACACACTCTCACTCACACACACTCACACACACTCTCTCTCACTCACACACTCTCACTCACACACACTCACACACTCTCACTCACACACTCACTCACACACACTCACACACTCTCACTCACACACTCACTCACACACAGTGTTTCTTTAAGCAGAATTTAGGCTGTTTTTGTTTTTATTATTTT